AGGTAAACATCTTTCTGATATTCTCTGCTTTCAGCCAAGATCCATCGGACATCAGCAATGGTATCTCTTACTCCACGGCCTCTTCTGAATCCAGCTTGAACCTCTGGAAGTTCTCTGTCAACGTATGATTGTAGCCATTTCTGTATTACCTTGAGTGAAAGTAGTCAGCCACAAAAGGTCAAATGTTGCATAAGACCATTATTATAAAAGTTTAAGAAAAGATACCCATAACTAACGGGGAAAAATAAATTTCTTTGTTGGTTACCCGTAAGGGTAGGGTGGTGGGGGTTTAGGGGAGGTGGAGGCAATGGTAGAGCACAGTGCAGCCACATCATAGTTCGGTGTTGGAGAGGGCAATACACATGAAGGGGTGGGGGTGGAAGAACAAGGTAGATAGGGGAACACTGAGACAGGTTTGCATGAGCTAAATGAGACAGAGGTAAATAGTGATGCATGCTCAACCTTGGAGCAACAGGGCTCTGTGATGACATGAATTGAGCCACAGTCTGAAGAGCAGAAATAATACTAAGATGCTTGACTGTCTAATGAATATTGGTTTCCCTTGCCTACTATTGTAATATAGTCACATGAGTGGGATAGAAAGGAATGTTGGGAACCATGATTGCAGAAAGCTTGTAAGTCCCTCTTCAGCCTATAACTGATTGGAATACCTAAAAGGGGTTCTAGAACTTTCCCAGTATAATGGGTCTCTTGTGAAGCCTTTGCAGTGTAAGGACCTTAGGTAGAATCCTGAGCCCCATCTAGAACCTTGAGGTGGGACATTCCCACTAGCAAGGACAAGCAGACCAGCCTGGAACAGCTAGAGCAACAGAAGATTCATGTTCAAAGAAAGATCAGCAGGAAAAACCCCAAACAAAAATGGCAGTATGATTGACTACTACAAGAATAAGCAAGTTGTTTGCCAGGAAGCCATCAAGGCAAGCAATCAAGTCCCTTCAGAACAAAGCCCCCGTCTAAGACTGAAACTCAAAGGGAACACATAAGCAGGACCATCAAGGGAGAAGAGCACAAGCAGAATGCGGGACCTGATCCAGAGAAGCAGCAACACCAGAGATGGAGGCAGAGAGGATAACAAGGAGAGATGGAGCAACTGGGGACTCTAGATTCATGGAAAGAGAGGAACTGAGAGCTGATGGCCAGGAGGCAAGCTTCCAGAATGTGGTCTTTGGTAGTGTAAATTATTCTATGTGCCTGAGTGCTTAAAAAAGCTAAAATGAATAGAGAGAGAAATACTGTTAACTGATGGTACATAGAAGGGATTGTAATCATTGTAATGAAACAAAGT